CAACAGGGACTTCACTGGCACTGCATGGTTTCTCCAGCAGAGCTGGAGCAGATCCTGAGCACCAGTGGGTATGGCACCCAAACCCAAAGTAAATAAACATCACCAATAAATATGGAATGTGTTCAAGTTAAATGCAGTGAAGTATAAAAGTTCTGCATCAACTCTTGAAAGCTAATATAAATTTCATCGGGGGGCAAAAAAGTGAGGAAACACACTGAAAACCACATATTATTAGTGATTAAAGTGCAACTGGGTCATAGGGATAGTTCTGATGTAGAGTGCATGCTTCTTCACATACAGGAGGACCTGGGTTCAATGCCAGGTACCAGAACAAAGCACAGACGTGCTTGGGCAATGATAAGTAGAATGGAGTATTCTGAGAAAAATGACGCCAGGCTGAAAGGGATATGAAGGATGCTGAATGCAAAGTGCCTAAGGACTTTGTGTGAAGTAATGGTAATGCCTAGTGGTGCAGTGTGATTTAATCATTTAGGTAAAAAAAGTAATGTTATAGCAGGATTGAAAAGTACAAGATAGGAGACAGATACTTTTTTTTTTAGTAAAAAGCCAGGAAAGAAATAGCAAGGAGCGTTTGTGGGGGCTATGCAAATGAAACGTGGGATAATCAATATTTCTGAAGGGAAATTAACTACTTTCAGTGTCTATGGAGATGAAAAATATTATTCAGAAGTTTCTTGTCTGCATAAGTGGAAAATGATGACATTAAAGAAGAAATATAGAGAGAGGACAAGGAATCTAGGAGGAATGTGGTTACTCCACCTTAAGCAATTTTGAAAACAATAAACATAATATTTAGAATTCAAATTAAGTGCTAAGAGAACTATGTCATCACACTGGCACGGACTGCTCTCATTTAACAAGAACATCAGAGCAAAATGTGCTCAATTCAAAGGGCTCATTTGTTTACTAAATAATACATTACTGTCCTTCATTTGGGAAAAAATACCCTATTATGCAGAGGTGTGGCTGAAGAGATAAATAAAAGTAGCCAATAAATTTTAATATTGCATATTCTTAAAGTCTGCTTTATTTATTTAGTTTTAAAGTCTTTTTTAAGTTTATCACAAAACAGTACTTTCTTAGGCCACATGATTTTCTTCTCTAATTTATCATAAAAACAAACTTTTTTTTTCTTTTTGGGTCATACCCGGCAATATAGGCTCAGGGGTCACTCCTGGCTGTACTCAGGGGACCATATAGGATGCTGAAGATAGAACCCATTTCTATCTTCAGCCTTGCTGTGTGCAAGGCAAACACCCAACCCACTGCACTATTGCTCTGGCACCTGCTTAGATTTTTTTTAAACACTGATTTTATTTCTACTTATTTGCTGCTTTTGAATAATGAAAATTCTCGCATTTTTTTTCAATCCATTAAATTACCTCTGCAATACTTGTCAACTATTCAGTTCAAGAATTTTTTCTACCAAGACACCTTCTTACAAGGTGGAACAAAATAATTTAAAAGTGCAATGCTAAAAGTTGTAATTATAGCAATCCTACATGGACAAAGACACTACAAGGAAATGTATTTATTTATTTAGTTAGGGTTTTTGTACCACATCCAGCAGTGCTCAAAGCCTACTCCTGGCTCTGCACTCAGGGATCATTCCTGATGGGCCCAGAAGACCATATAGGACACCAGAGATTGAACCCCAGTTTGTCGCATGCATGGAAAACACCCTACTGCTTCAGTTCCATATAAGGTTTTATCTATTTTTTAAAATTCAGTTTAATTTCACGTCACAGAGTCTCACACATATCAAAAGCAACAACCAGACTGGTATGGATGCAGAGAGAGAGGGACTGTCATTCACTGTTGGTGGAAATGCTGATTGGTTCAGCCTTTCTGGAAAACAATATGGACATTTCTTAAAAAACTAGAAACTGAGCTTCTATACAACCCAGCAATACTGCTCCTGGGAATATACCCTAGGGGCCCCAAAACACAAGGCAGAAAAGCCATCTGCATTTCTATGTTCACTGTAGCACTATTCACTATAGCCAGAATCTGGAAACAACTGAAGTGCCCAAGAATAGACGAGTGAAAACGAGTGAAAACAAACAAACAAAAAAGAATAGATGAGTGGATAAAGAAACTATGGTACATCTACACAATGAAATATTATGTAGCCATTAGGAAAAAATGGAGTCATGAAATTGCCTTATACATGGAAAGCATCATTCTGAGTGAAATGAGTCAGAGCTTCCCAGAGGGGCAAACATAAATGATTGCACTAATTTGAGGGATATAAAGAAACAAAACATAGCATGTGAATAACACCCAAAGACAATAGAAACAAAGGCCAGGTGGACGGGTCTACAGTAGGAAGCAAAGGGGAAAGGGAGTGCAATTAGGACAGAGAAAGGACCACTATGACAAGGATAATTGAAAATGATCACTCTAGACAAAAACTGAGTGCTGAAAGGAAGTAGTGATGTGCATGATACCCTTTTAAGAACAGTACTATAAACCACGGTGCCTAAAAGGAAAATAAGAGAGAGAAAGAGAGGTAAGTGCCTACCCTAGAGGCAAAATGTGGGGCTGGGCGGGAGGGAAACTGGAGACACTGGTGGCAGGAAATGTGCACTGGTGAAGGGATGGATGCTGTACCACTGTATGACTAAAATTCAATCATGAACAACTTTGTAACTTTTATCTCATGGTGCTTAAAAAATCAGTTTAATTATAACTGCCATGATCAATTAATCTCATTTAATTAAGAACTATACTGGTGGAAACTGGAGTCATAGCACAGCAGGTAGGGTGCTTGCCTTGCATGCAGATAGCCTAGGTTCAATCCCCAGAATCACATATGGTTCCCCATGCACTGCTAGGAGTAATTCCTGAGAGCAGAGCTGGGAGTAAATCCTAAGCATTGCTGGGTATGGCCCAAAATACGTGTGAGCACCCAGGGAAGAACTCAACTGGTTTCTCCTATTTTAACACACAACTATATGTAATGTCTATGTATTATACCCATCAGACCGAGGAGGGAAAAAAAACAGTACAGGGGTTGCTGACTCCTTTTGCTTCTGGCACCTATACCATACCCAACATGCACACCCCCCCCCAACACCCCTTCCCCTCAGCACTGACGGAAGTGACCCCTGAGCACATAGCCAGGAGTAAGTCCTAAGCTCTACTGGATGTGGCCTAACTCCAATTTCATTAGAAAAAAAAAATGTTTTTAGAATGTTGAGAAACCAGAAATACCATATGATGCTTTTGACTTAACTATAAATTCTAAAGGATGTTTCTATGTAAAGGAAAAACACATCTGTTTGTTGATATATAGAATAAAGCATGCACAACCTCTGCATCTTTCTTACCATTAAAGCTTTATAAAGATCATCAATTCTCAGTACGTCATCTTTTTATTTTTATTTTTTGAATTAGCGCATCACTTAAAGGACAATAATATCCTACAAGAATATCACTTTCGGGGCTGGAGAGACAGCACAGCAGGTAGGGCGTTTGCCTTGCACACGGGGCCGATCCGGGTTCGATTCCCAGGATCCCATATGGTTCCCTGAGCATCGCCAGGAGTAACTCCTGAGTGCAGAGCCAGGAGTAACCCCTGTACATCGCCGGGTGTGACCCCAAAAAGCAAAAACAAAAACAAAACAAAAAAGAATATCACTTTCCGGGAGGGAGCGATAGTACAGGGAGTTGGGCTCTTCTTGCCTTGCATGTGCCAGATCTGGGTTCGATCCCGGTCATCCCATACAGTCCCCCATGCACAGAAGGGAATAATTCCTGAATGCAGAGCCCAGGAGTCAGCCCTGAGCACTTCCCCGCCCCCCCCAAAAAATAGAACCAAAACAAGATTATTACTTGCCAACGGGACAAGAGAGACAGTATAGTAGAGCTCTTGCCTTGCAAGCGGCCCATTTAGGCTTCATCCCCTGCACTCCAATACGGCCAGCCACCTCCCCTGGCCCTGCCAGGAGTGATCCCTGAGTGCAGAGCCTGAACTAAGAGCCAGGTATGCGCCCCCTCCACCCAAATAAGAGTATCACCTGCCAAAACGCGTCTCTCACATTACTTAAGATGTGTTTAGTAAAACGGAAAACAGAAGTGCAGGCGTTTAAGGAGAACATGCGAGGGCTGCCCGGTGCCCAGCTAAAAGGAACCGCGGTGCATCGGTGTTTTTCAAGCGCTCCCGCAGACAAGCCGCTGTTCACCTATAGCCACCCTGCAGCCCAGGCAAGTGAGTGGGCGGGCAGGCGCGAGGGTCCTCAAGGACCCTTCTGCAGTGGAACGCAACTCCGTCAAACACCACCGAGAGGAGAACTCTGCAAAGGGGGGTGGGGTGGGATACGGGGAGAAAGAGGAATGGGAGGTAGGGGTGGGGGGGATATTCATCAAAGTAAAGGTGCCGCGGGAATCTCTGCAATTCGCAAAATCTCCCAGAATACCCGAGAGGCCGTTGAGGGCTCTGCGACTGTAAAATGTCTTGCAAAAAAAAAAAAAGAAAAGAAAAGGCTTCTGAGAACCAGCCCATAGGCTTATGTTTTCGGGGGGGTGGGGGGGAGCGAGTGGGCGGAGCGGGTTCCAGAAGGTCCCCCAGGAAGAAGAGATTGAGGGTGCCACCAGGGTTTCCACGGCTCGCAAAGTAGCGGGGGGGTGGTGATGGAGCGGGAGCCGGGGGAGGGGGGAGGTGTCCACCTCCAGGCGCCGCCGTCCCCCCCCCAGACCCGGCCGTGGGAGGAGGCGGCAGATGCGCAGGGGTCGGGACCGGGCAGCCACGGGTCTCGGGTCAATCAGCGCCGGGCGGTCCCGAGGGAGGAAGGCAGCGGGAGGGCGGGGCGGCGGGGAAAGCGAAAGGAGCAACGCGGGCAGGGAGGGGCGCGGCGCGCCGGGACCCCTGCGGGGACCACGCCCTGGGGATGGACGGGGGCATGGGGGGTGGTTCCGCCGGCGGCGGCGGCGGCGGCGGCGACCGGGGAGCGAGGGGGGCAAGGGGCAGAACTTACTCCGCGGTCCTCCTCCGAGAGGAAGTCGGGGCCGTCGTCCAGGCCTTCCTGTCGGGGCGCCGGGGCCCGGCAGGCCGCGCGGGGAAGAGGATGGAGTAGGGGAGACACAAAGGGAGACATTAGTGCCAGGCCGGCGCGGCCCCCGCGCCCGCCCCGCGCCCGCCGCCCCCACCGCGCGTCCCGGGCTCGGCGCCGCCGAGAACACCCACCATCATGGCTGCTCCGAGGCGAGGGCCGGCGCAGGCGCGCTGCGCACCGCGGGCCGGAGAGTCGGGGGCGGCGGCGCGGGGCGGGGCTTCGCAGAAGCCCCGCCCCCGCCCCGCCCCCGCGAGGGGCCCCGGGCGGCCGGCGGTAAAGTGGGCCCCGCAAGGCGCCCCCGCGCCGGGGTCCGAGCAATCGTGAGCGCCTGAACCCTCCAGACCTGGGGCGCCCAGCGCACGCCTCCCGCCCCCCCTCCCAAAACTGCGGGCCGCCCAGCCGCTGGCCGCCCTTGCCCCGAGAAGGGCGGCCGGCCTCGCGGGGAGCTGTCCAATTCCCTTTTCCTAAACAGCGGCTGCGGAAAAACCCGAGCCAGTTCCCCTGGAAGCCACAATAAACCAACCCGTCTTTATGCCGTGCCACATGCTCATTAATCACAATTAATATTTTGCCCGTGGACGTTGTTGGGGCCACAGTCAGCTGTCAGGGGCTGTAAAAATAAAGCTTTTATTGCCGGCCAGGTAATAAACGTCCTCAGGGTTTAGGGCGCTGATGTTGAGTGTCATTAAAAAAAAAAAAGGCTCTTCGCTTAATGTGAATAGTCCCTTTTCTCTATACGAAGAAATGTACACCACACACACGCACGCACGCATACGTATCAATCCTTGTACTTTTATCCAATTAATGATATCAGCAATCAGCAACTATAGCTGCCCAGGCCAGAAAAAAATATCTATTAAAAGTTCTATTTTGAAAAAAAAAGTTCTTTTCAAATTCTTCCTGGAACCAGGAATGTGGCTCAGGGGTAGGACACTTACCTTGCATATCTGATTCCCTACATTGGAATGGGGGGTGGACTTTTCCTTTTCACTCCTCACAACATTTATTCAGCAACCAAATCTTGTTTCCGTAATTGATTACCAACCCCTAAAATTGGATCCACTCCTTCCCACCATCTCATCTCCACAGCAGTTACTCTCTGCATCTCTCTGAACTTTTACATTATTCTCCTAGCTTTCCTAGTTCCCTTTTTGCCTTCATTCCACAAACTCATCTAGTTTTCCTCCTATGACACAAATAATGATGTTTCGCTACCCTGTTCAATAATATTTTTAAAATTTCCATTACATCAAGATCCAGTTCCTCAGTTTATGATTTTAGATCCTCTGCATTTGATTCTCTCCCTGTTTTTTTTTCCCCCCCTTCGGGGGCGTGTGGGGAGCAGACCGCGAAGTGCTCAGGGATTTTTCCTGACTGCACTCAGGGATCACTCCTGGCAGGCTTGGAGAATCACCTGGGGTCCGAGGATCGAACCTGGACTGGCTGTGGGCAAAGCATGCCCTTGATCTACATCTTCAGTGCCCAGAGTTAGTTTTTAAAGTTTTTATCTGCAAAGAATGTTGATGACTCAATATGTCTTTAGAAAAAAAGCGACTGATTAAATGAGCTAAGAGATAGCTCATTGGGTTGGAATACGAGTTTTGAATTCAGGAGGCCTGGTTTAAATCCTTGGCCTGTATGTTCGGTCCCTTGAGCACCACCAGCAGCAATCTCAAACCAACTGGAATATCTCATATCTGGAATAGCTCATAAAGCACAGCTGAATGTGGTCCAAAAATCCAAAGTGAAAAAAAAAAAGATTTTAAGAAAGTAGTTGGAGGTGGGGGCAATAATATGACAGGTAAGGCATTGCGTTGCATGCAGCAAATCTGGATTCGATTCTTAGCACCACGTATGGTCTCTGGCACTGTCAGGAATGATGCCAGAGCATAGAGCCAGTAGTAAGCTTTGCGTGAGCAGAGTTGGATGCGGTCTAAAAATAAAATCCAAAATTAAACAATTTTAAATATCATGTTTGGGAATGGGCTGGAGCGATAGCACAGCGGGTAGGGCGTTTGCCTTGCAAGCATGGCCAACCCGAGTTCAATTCCTCCGCCCCTCTTGGAGAGTCCGGCAAGCAACCGAGAGCATCTCGCCCGCATGGCAAAAGCCTGGCAAGCTACCCGTGACGTATTTGATATGCCAAACACAGTAACAAGTCTCACAATGTTACTGGGCCCATTCGAGCAAATCAATGAACAACGGGAGGACAGTGACAGTGACAGTGATGTTTGGTGTTGGAGTACAAGGAGCTTAGGTTTATCTGGTTACACCCATCACAGTGCTCCTGAGGCATTTCCATTCCATTGTGTTTATCTGTAAACAGTCTTCCCTATGCTCTCCTCCCCACCCAGTTAATCAGCTTTCCCCTTAATCACTCTGTTAATTTGTAAGGTCAGTTTCCCAGAAATCTATGATTTTATATGTATGAGTGAAATATTGGCTTTCTCCTCTCCTTATGCCTTATGAACAGTTTACTTTAAAGCAATATCCTTTTTGTGTAGATACAGGAAGACCGTTAACATTATGCTTTGTAATTTAGGATTTGATTGGCGCCGTGTAATCCCATCAGCGGCCAAGACTCAGAGACTATAAAATCCAGATCCCGGACGAGAACAGTGCAGTCTTCTGCCCCCGCGCCTGGGTGTTCCTTCCCGGAGCCCCTTGGAGGGGAGCGGGTTGAGCTTTCCTCCCCGCCCCGACCAGGGCTCCGGCAGCTGAAGACCTCCAGGACCAGCCACCACCATGCTGAGACCACTCTCCGCACACATGAAGGTACTGGCAGAGGGACAAAGCCACGCGGGTTCCGGGGCCGAGACCTCCAAGCCTACTCGAATTGGAGTCGAGCATCTTCCACCCAGATCCTCCAAATTCCAGTAGGCGGGGGTCACACCCACCACCTGGCCCCCTGGCGCCATGTAATCCCATCAGCGGCCAAGACTCAGAGACTATAAAATCCAGATCCCGGAACCGCGCGGCTGCATGACATCTTATCAGAACTTTTTTTTATGACATCTTATTGTCTCATTCCTACTCTGGACAAACTTGCAGGCTATCGAATGTAGCCTGCCCACAGGGCAGAGTCTGGCAAACTCCCCGTGGCCTACCAAATATGCCAAATACCAGTAACAATGATGGGTCTCATTCTCCTAATTAGCCTTGAATATAATCTCAGGGCTAGGATGAAAGAGACGTTACTGGGGCCTGCTCGAGGCAATCGACGAATAACAGGATGATGAAATGAAAATGAAAAAAAATGAATATTATTCACTCCCGGGCATCTGCTTTCTCGACTTAAGCCTCAGTTGCCCTTAGTTCCTAACACCCCAAAAGCAGGGTCCCGACGAGGGACTGAATGGACCCAGGGCAAGTGGTGAGCTACCCTGGCATCGAAATGGGCCAGGCCCCACAGCCCCAGAAGCACAAGGGCTTAATGCAGAACCCAGCAGCTTGGAGCAGAAAAGTGAACAGACTATGCATTGATCCCAGGCCATCAAGTCTGCCGGAGGGGAAAGGGTGTTGCCCCATTCGCCCTCTCCTCTCTGGAAAGAAAGATGGCGGCCACATGAGAGCCTTGTGGACAGCAGGTATGAGCCGCGAGTGTGGGGGCGACTAAAACCTCATGGGAAGGGGGGCGTTCTTGTCCGTCCTTCACGCCCTACCGAGGTCACCAGTTGCCCCCCACGAGCGGCTCTCCAGCATAGCCACGGCCCCAGAAGCACAAGGACTTAATGCAGAACCCAGCAGCTTGGAGCAGAAAAGTGAACGGACTATGCATTGATCCAGGCCATCAAGTCTGCCGGAGGGGAAAGGGTGTTGCCCCATTCGCCCTCTCCTCTCTGGAAAGAAAGATGGCGGCCACATGGGAGCCTTGTGGACAGCAGGTATGAGCCGCGAGTGTGGGGGCGACTAAAACCTCATGGGAAGGGGGGCATTTCCGTCTGCCCTTCACGCCCTACCGAGGCCATCAGTTGCCCCCACGAGCGGCTCTCCAGCACGGCCACAGCCCCAGAAGCACAATGACCTAATGCAGAACCCAGCAGCTTGGAGCAGAAAAGTGAAAGGACTATGCGTTAATCCAGGCAATCATTTCTGCCCAGAGGGGAAAGCGTGTTGCTCCCTTCCACCCTCCTCCCTCTGGAAAGAAAGATGGCGGCCACATGGGAGCCTTGTGGACAGCAGGTATGAGCCGGGGGTGTGGGGGCGACTAAAACCTCATGGGAAGGGGGGCGTTCTGGTCCGTCCTTCACGCCCTACCGAGGTCACCAGTTGCCCCCCACGAGCGGCTCTCCAGCACGTCCACGGCCCCAGAAGCACAAGGACTTAATGCAGAACCCAGCAGCTTGGAGCAGAAAAGTGAACGGACTATGCATTGATCCAGGCCATCAAGTCTGCCGGAGGGGAAAGGGTGTTGCCCCATTCGCCCTCTCCTCTCTGGAAAGAAAGATGGCGGCCACATGGGAGCCTTGTGGACAGCAGGTATGAGCCGCGAGTGTGGGGCCGACTAGAACCTCATGGGAAGGGGGGCGTTTCGCTCCACCCTTCACGCCCTACCGAGGCCACCGGTTGCCCCCCGCGAGCGGCTCTCCAGCACGGCCACGACTCCAGAACACAGAAACCAATTTCTTAACTATCTGACTTTCAGTAGAAATACTTCCAGGGTCAATAGGTAAAAGAGCAGAAACCCAAAACCAACATTTAATTCTTGAACCCAGCCGTAGAAAGCAAATCACTTCACAATGCTTTTTCAGCATGTCTGATTTGGGGGGGGGGTAAACTCTAAATAATAGTGGTGAATCTTTTATTGAAACAATGAATCTAATCAAAGCAGATAGAGTGTTAACTAGAATTCATCTGCCTCACAGGGATGGGGAGGGGTGGGGGGTGGGGTTTTATTGGGGTTCTTCATGGTAAAAAATAAGTATTGGTAAAGGGAAATGTGTTTGATATTTGCATGACTGAGACATAAACCTGAAAGCTTTGTAACCTTTCCCACAGTGATTCAATAAATAAATAAAAAAAAATTAAAAAAAAAAAAAAAAGAAATGGGCCAGGCCAAAGTGCCACGATTCTTAACTATAAGAGTTTGATCATAGACAAATGCTGTCATGATCCAAAGGTAA